ATGCTTAACGGGAACGCTACAACATTGGTCTTTACAGAATGCTTCGGCCCAAATTAAAATGGGCCTTCTTATAGATGTTTAACTCCCCGCACCAACTTTATCTCATCTCACATAACCCACATAACCCACCTTCATGAACTTTACAAATAATTAAAATACGAGGGTGAACAACATTTTTTTTTCCCTCTACTACAGTAATCCCAGTTTTAACCGTTACATTTTTCGAATTTTTTAAATTGCTACAGAATCTCGCTTCTGCTACAGTACTCCATTGTGCTACAGTAATATTTTTCAAAAAATACACTGCCCAGTTTCATGTTTGCTACAACAATAATACTACAGTAAATGCTATTGTAATATTTATTGTAGCATAAATAGTGAATATTGGGTTCTCCCATTTGTATAGAGGAGTAGATTTTTGAGTGGAAAAAATCTCAAACTTTGTCACTTGTCATTTACAGGCAAGATAACCCCTTCTGAAAATTTTAAATTTTTTTCTCTTAAGAAAATTTTAGTTGTTTATAACTACAAACAGTGAAACTATGTGAGATAAAGTAAACTTTTGGGGTGGTCTGAGAGACACCCCAAAGTCCAGAGCGGGTTATGTGCAACACCCACCAAAGTTCAATTTTCTTTTTTTTTCTTTTTTTTTTTTGGGGGGGGGGGGGGGGGGGCGGATTATTGGTGAAATTAACCCCTAACAAGAAATAGTGCATTGGCATAAACAGAGATAATAAAGGTGTTCAAAGCTCTAAAGTTTTTGAATCATAAGTGCCAATATACTCATACGAACGTAGATATCACTAAGTGTAAGAATTTCATTTTAGTATACCTTTTATAACAAATCCTTACGTAGATATCACTAAGTGTAAGAATTTCATTTTAGTATGCCTTTTATAACAAATCCTTGAGCATGAAGGATGTTGCAGCGGGGGGCTTCGCAGACACAAAAAATGTTTATACAAGAGTGAAGAATAACAATACTGAATAAACACAGTGAAGACAAAGAACAACACACAAGGATTTAACGTGGTTCGGTCAGTATAGTCTACATCCACGGACGAGAACAACAGAGAACTTCACTAATCATAAAAGAGAAGTTTACAAAAGAAGAAATCACTCTCTAACTAGAGAATCACACAAAGAAAGACTTCTCTTTCTATATCACTCTCTTCTCTCTGACTCTCATTTCTTCTCTCTATTTGTTCTCTGCGTCTGATTATCTCTACTCTCTCCCACATCCCCCTTTTATAGTTTCCAAATAATAATAATAATAATAATAATTTAAAAAGGGGGTTGTTGGAACAGTAAGTGGGCGTAGGTGGCATAGTGATGTTAGGTAAATGGAAAATTTTTCAAAGATACATGACAAATCTCCACCTTGACTTTGAAAATGAAGATCTTCTCTTTACTCTTGTTGTCTCACCAGAAGCTCCTTAAGGGCTTAACATCCGCTTTGTCTAACTCCAAACAATTCGAGACAATGCTCGAACTTGTTGAAGGTACGGGCTTCGTCATCATATCTGTTGGATTATCTGCAGTACCAATTTTTTCAATCCTGGTGACTTTAATTTCTCTGATAAAATGATACCTGACATCTATATGTTTGGTTCTTTCATGATACATCTGATGTTTTGTTAAATGTATAGCACTCTGACTGTCACAAAATACTGTAGTAACACATTGGTGTAAGCCGAGATTTTTAACCAAACCTCTCAACCAAATGGCTTCTTTCACTGCTTCTGTCACTGCCATATACTCTGCCTCTATGGTAGACAAAGCAACTGTCAACTATAGAGTCGCCTTCCAACTAATGGCACTACCTGAAAGATTGAATATATAACTTGTCAGGGATCATCCCTTATCCAAATCGCCCGCATAATCTGAATCAGAATAGTCAAGTATTCTGCAATCTGAATTTGTATTCCTGCCAAAATATAAACCAATATTAACAGATCCTCTTAAATATCTAAGTATCCATTTCATAGCCTGCAATGGATCTTTCCAAGCTTATCCGTATACTGACTCACAACACTGACTGCATGTGAAATATTTGGATGAGTGCAGACCATAGCATACATAATGCTTCCAACTACACTAGCACAAGAAACACAACACATGTACTGCTCCTCCTCGGTCTGAGGTGATAAATCTGCTGAAAGACGAAAATGAGTAGCAAGCGGAGTCTTCACAGGCTTGGCATCAAGCATGTCAAATCTTTCCAACACCTTCTTGATGTATTTCTCCTAAGATAGGAATAAACTTCATTCTCGCATGTTCCTGTAGTTCTCCATCCCTAAAATTTTCTTTGCTGCTCCCAAGTCCTTCATCTCAAACTCATGTCTGAGTTAAGATTTCAACTCGTTGATTTCTGGCGTATCTTTAGCTGCAATCAACATATCATCAATATACAAAAGCAAATCCACAAAAGAACCTTCCATTACTTGAAGGTTGCAAACACATCACTCTTATACCTCAAAGGATACACCCAAACTTTTCTAAAATAATCACCAATTAATATTAGTAGAAAACGAGCGACACCTTTCGATAAAACCTGAGAGTGACCACAAATATCTGAATTGATATAATCTAAAGTACCCTTGGTTCTGTGGACACCGGTACTAAAAGATACTCTATGGTGTTTGCCGAAAACACAATGCTCACAAAAGTCTAAGTTGCTAGTTTTCTGACCACAAAGCAGACATTGTTTGCTCAATACATCCAGTCCTCTCTCACTCATATGCCCTAACCGTATATGCCACGAACATGTAGTGTCTGAATCTGAATCCTCTGAGGATGACACTGCTGCAGCACATGTCACTGTACTGCCTTCAAGAATATAGAGCGTATTTACCTTCTTTCCTTTCATCACAATAAGATAGCATTTACTAACTCTCAAAACTCCACCTTCAGCCAAAAATTCAAAACCATTTAAATCAAGGGTGCCTAAAGAAATGAGGTTCTTCTTCAACTCTGGTATATATCGGATATTGCTCAATGTTCTAACAATATCATCATGGGTTTTAATCTTAATTGATCTGATACCAATAGTCTTGCAATGCATGCTATTTCCCAACAAGACATTCCCGATATCGATAGATTGATATGTGACAAACCAATCCTTATGCGGACACATATGGTAGGAACAACCCGAATCAAGAACCCAATCATCTTGTGAATAAGTTTTAACACTAACTGAAAGAATTTCATATGAACTAGAAGACTCTTCAGTTACAGTGGCTAATGAAGGTTTTACCTCCCAGACTTCGACTGTGAATTATCCTTTGCTTTGAGCGCTGGACAATTAGGTTTTGTATACTCATATTTGTGACAGTAATAATATTCAATATTTTTCTTGGCTTGGACTTTGATCTAGACATATTTCTAGACTTGCCTCTACCACCAACACCCTTTTCAGGACGACCACGAGCGAACAAGCCTTCAACTTGATCCTCTCCTCCTACGACAGACACATTATGCTTTAACTCTTTTGAATGTAAGGCTGATTTGACATCCTCCAAAGAAAGTGTATCTCTACCGTATAACATACTATTGATAAAATTTTCATAAGAAGGAGGTAATGAACATAACAAGATGAGTGTTTGATCTTCTTCGTCGATTTTAACATCAATATTCTTCAAACCATAAGAATAGTGTTAAGTTCATCTAAGTGGTCTTTAATTCACATATATTCCTTCACGCGAAGGGTGAAGAGACGTTGCTTCAAGTAGAGCTTGTTAGTTAGAGATTTCATCATGTACAAGGTGGTATCTTCATTGGTAACCTCCCGCAAGACTTCATCAGCCAAACAAAGCTGTATGACACTATGCGTCGTCATCTCCAGCTTTTCTTTCTCATCATCGGGCATAGATTTTGGCAACTTATCCTTTCCGGACAAGACTTTGAACAGTCCTTGTTGTACTAGGAGAGCTCTTATTTACTCTCCACAAACTAAAGTTGTTTTTCCCATTAAATTTCTCCACATTGTATTTTACAAAAGACATCTTGAAACCCACTAGAATAGTAACTGTAATTATGAACAGTAACTGCGCTTGTGAACAGTAATCATGCGTATGAATAGTAACCATACGTATGAATAGTAACAGCACTTTTGAATAGTACAGTACACGTGAATAGTACTCAGTACCTTTAAAGAGTAAATGATAATCTAGTTTATTTTCTGATATGAAGGATCTACTTTTAGTGGTAGCCACAGAGCATACGATAAGTAGATACATGTACTCTAAGTCAAGCTCTAATACCAGTTTCTTACAGCGGGAGACTTCACAGACACAAAAGATATTTATACAAGAGTGAAGAATAGCAATACTGAATAAACACAGTGAAGACAAAGAACAACACACAAGGATTTAACGTGGTTCGGTCAATATGACCTACGTCCACGGGCGAGAACAGTAGAGAACTTCACTAATCATAAAAGAGAAGATTACAAAAGAGAAGATCACTCTCTAACCAGAAAATCACATAAAGAAAGACTTCTCTTTCTATCCACTCTCTTCTCTCTGACTCTCACTTCTTCTCTCTGTTTATTCTCCGCGTCTGAGTGTCTCTACTCTCTCCCACATCCCCTTTTATAGTTTCCAAATAATAATAAAAAATTGAAAAAGTGCTTGTTAGAAAAGTAATTGGGAGCATGTGGCATAGTGATGTTAGGTAAATGGAGAAATTTTCAAAAACACATGACAAAAGAAAACAATAATCTCATTAGAATATTAAAAATTATAGCTCTTAATTATCACATATGACTTCATATTTTTAGTGTAATGAAAGTACAATCACACACCATATTTGTCTAAAGTAACGTTCCATAAAATAGTTAAATGTTGATCAATGTAAAGGGTGTGAACCTAAACCCAGAATACTCACCCTAGCTTGGGAGTTTTGATGTCAATCAAGAATTATAATTCTATCCTCTGACAAATAGTAGAAGTATTCCAAATTTTCCGTTTTGACATTGTAAAGCATATAGGAAAAAGAAGCAGAGAATACAAACAGATATTTGCTTTTGAAATCTTATAGTCTACACAAGATTTGCCTCTGCCATCTTAACATTTCTCAACTCAAAACTCATTGCAGTCTCACTCGGGGGAAGACATTACAGAAACAGATTCTCATCATTAAATAATCTTTAGAGGCATCAACTTTCTTCACAGACTATTCTACCATATTTTCTATTGGTTTCTAGCTTCCTGAGAGCATGAACTGTTTTAGAGAAGGGAATGTCATCTCTTGCCAAATCTCAAGCACTTGTTGTGTTTGAACTCAGAGATGGTTGAGACTTGTGAATTGTTGTTCTTCGTCTGCTTGACAACAGAGAGCTTCTCCATTGCATGTATGTATTTTCTCAAGTGCTTGATGTAATCTGGATAAGTTTCTAAGTTGCAATGACCGCCGCCATTGACCCATAATGGATCATATTTTTCTTTCGATAATTCCCACAGGCGCTTTCCGTGAGACCAATCAACTATTTCATCGGCAGTCCCCTGCGTTAATCCATTAGCATTTAGAATGACGGAACTGAAGTAGCAAGAAAACCAAACATTGTGTTTAATGTTGCTTCAAAACTAAGGATGTAATGGTGACAAATATTCTAATGGGTGAACATATATTCATACTAGCACAGTTTGGAGTTAATTTAGAAGTTCTATCCTCAAAAGATCATTAATATACAAACACTAATTCCTATCATTAATGGAAAAAATTTGATGATATCTTAACGAAGATAAACCCGCACTATGTATTTGGACCATTCATGACAATGCATAACAATGTCTTGTTTAGTTTATATCACCCCATATTTTTATATACTACAGGATATTGACCACTAAAGTAAATACACTAACTTCCTGAAAAAATTAACGCTCATGAGAAATGTGCGGCCAGTATCATATCATCATGCAAGTTTTTCTTTTCCAGCCACTCCTTGCTGATTTCCCCACTGTAATCCTTGCAATTACTATGCATATAAACGTCCTATCGAGTGAACACCCTCCACTACCTTTTATACAGTAGAAGGGTATTGATCAATACTAACTTCAATACACTAGCTTCCTAATGAAAAAATATATATCCACTGAGGCAATCTGTAATCAGTATCATATGATATCATAGCATCATTCACTATTTTTTATGTAGCAACACCTTGCTATTTGCCTTCTTTAGACCTAGTGAACAGTGAAAACTTACACCAAGGTACCTTTCAGAATATTTAAACAATCAAATTAAAATAAATGTACTCACATGGATAACAAGAACAGGGCAGCTGACTTGTCGTATTTTGTCAATGTTCTGCAAATAAATCACCAAATTTGCTTATCAAGGTCGAAATATACTTGTGCAAGGACAGAAATATATTCTATAGCATGAAGATGAACAATCTGTAGAAATGATGCTTACTTTGAATATATCAAACCAAAACGAAACCTTCACAGGATACAAGACTCTTATGCCTGAGAGAATTGCACTATGAAGAACAACGCCTCTGGGTTTCTGCAAGCGTGAAGCCAAGTGAAGTGTCGGTCCACTACCAACGGATTGACCATATAATATCAGATCCTCTTGTCTTATATCATACTCTTTCTTTAGACAATCATATACGGCTTCGATATCATAGTATGTGTTGAACTCTGACGGCTATCAGAAGGATGAACACATTTCAAAGAGGAAAAGGAACAAATTAGACATCACATTGACAAGGCAAATTTGCTACAAGATGTACGAAGAAGCTCAGTTTAAGATTTTGAATTCACAACACATTTGTATAGTCGTACATATTTTGTCCTGAGAAGCTTTTCAATAAGTGTGAAATCAGATTTATCAAAATCATTTTATCACATAGCAAAGACAGAAGAAATTTCAAAATCCAGTAACACCTAGACGTTTGATCACTTTGACCTTTTCTGCAGCTAAAAACTAAAGCCACATGAATTGATAGCAATCCTGCAGCTAGATTACTTTGAACATTTATCGATTACCATTTCAGAGTTCAGATCAAGAGGTTGTTGGCACAGTGGTAAATAATTTTTTGAGAAAAATTGACAAGCAGGATTCAAATTCTGAAAGGTGAAGTGAGGTAAAAGTAATTGTGATTCAAGAGTACCTGTTATAGATGTGCGTGCGTGCGTGCATGTGTTTACCATTTATTATTATTTATTTAAGGAAACCTGCTATAGATGAATTGCTTGTAAATTGTAATCCTTTAACAGATTGTCAAATAGGAAAGAGCTTTTCCTTTTTCTACAAAACCACATCCGATTCGCAAACTGAATTGAGCAGGTTTGTTGATATTACCACTTAAATAACTCCAATGTTGATCAGGCTAAAGTTAGAAGGTGGTATCCTAATTAATTTCGAGAAGACTGAAAACAGAAACTAACAAATGACAAGTAATGCAACACAACATCCTAATTTTTTATACATGAAAATATGCTTACCTTTCCAGTAGAGGCTCCATATCCGGAATAATCATAACTGCAAAAGATACAACCAAGATCCTAAGTCATTCATTAGATCCTATCTAGTTTCAGTCACATTTTCTCTCTACATCACAAGCATCAGTATAAGTCATAAGTAACCACATTTAAAAGGAAAGAAATCTAAATGAACCCCACCGAACTGGAGTAGTAAAATCCATGCAGCAGTTTAAATTTTCATCTATTTATCCACAATTGCAGCTAAGGTGTTACAAGGAACAGTAACAGCAATTTTCTGGATCTGGCAAAAATCTCCTATCTCATTCTTCCTTCCATGCCCACATTAAAATAACAAAAGGACATAGAAGAGGAACTGACTGTACTAAAGCCATTATAAAAGCTGTTGTTTCCTCCTAATCATGGATTCTACAGCTGAATCACATCCAAAAAGGAAATGGGCATCACCAAGTCTATATACAGAGAAGAGGAGAAGTATTTTCACAAGAAATAATCTAGACAGCTTAAAGTTTACACCAAAACCACGGGCCCAAGAACAACAGAAAAGTATATTATACCCAACATCTCATTTCCAAAATATCTACATCTCAATCTACTTTAAGACCTGGTGGATTCCTCAGCCAAAACACCAAAAAAATCAACATCACCATCACCATCAAGGAGAAAAGCCATGAAAAAGAAAAATTAAAAAAATAAAACCGCGAAAATTTATTTAGGAATAACGCGGTTAGAATATAAAAATATAACCATACCTTCAGAGTTTGGATATTATTGTTAGAAGAAATTTAAAATGATATCAAAGCAAAAGTTTAAATACCACTGACCACAATTTAAAAGCAGATTTTCTAAAAATTGACACTACTGCGTTAGTCTATGTTTCGGCCAACCTGAATGTATAGAGTTTTGATCTAACTAGGTTTCGGCCAACCTGAACGTATAGAGTTTTGATAACTTGAACGTATAGAGTTTTGATCTAATAATTAGTGGGACTTTAAGACGCAATTAAAATCTCTTGCTAGATTGCAGAAATAACGATCTTCGCCATGCTTATAGACCTAAGATATACAGATCAAGTTTCCTTTTTGAGAAAGGGCAAAAAGGGGAAGAACCATAACAACAGACAAATTTTTTTCTTCCAATTCTCTAAAAACTATCATTTACGCAAAACAATTTAGATATCCCATCGTCACAATAAAAACAAAACTAGAAGTGAAAAGAAAACCCCCATTAATGATAATAAAAATAAACAAACGGGTATATCAAGCAAACCACAGGTTACAAAATAACACCAAAAAGATACAATCCCACATCCTAAAAATTAACAAATAAATACCTAACCCATTAAACAAAATGAAACAAAAGA